GCTTCCGAAAGCTTTCCTCACACATGTTAGACCACCTGAATGGGACATCTTTTTGGGTCAATCTAGTCAAAGGTGCTACAATGGACGAGAAAAACTCTATGAAATAGCGATAATACCCTGCCAATCCAAGGAAACTTTGAATCACAGTAGTAGAAGACGGTCTAGGCCAATTTGAACTGCCTCCACCTCCTTCGGATCCACCTTAATCCCTTCACTATACACCACATGGCCCAAAAATGCCACCAAATCAAGCTAAAACTCACACTTGGAGAATTTAGCATATAGCTTATTCTCTCTCAATGTCTGAAGCACGATCCTCAAGTGTTGTTCATGATCGTCCCGGCTACGAGAATACACCAATATGTCAATGAACACGATGATGAAGGAATCAAGATATAGCTGGAATACACTGCTCATCAAGTGCGTAAAGGTTTTTGGGGCATTGGTCAGCCCAAAAGACATCACCAGAAACTCATAGTGACCATAGCGAGTCCTGAAGGCCGTCTTCGGAATGTCTGAATCCCGGATCTTCAGTTGATGATACCCCTACCTCAAGTCAATCTTCGAGAATATCCGAGCACCCTGCAGCTGATCGAACAAATCATTAATGAGCGGTAGTGGGTACTTGTTCTTGACTGTAACTTTGTTCCACTGCCTGTAATTAATACATGTCCTTATAGAGCCATATTTCTTCTTCACAAATAGAACTGGAGCACCCCATGGTAAAACACTCGGCCTGATGAAACCCTTGTCAAGCAACTCCTAAAGTTTTTCCTTTAATTCCTTCAACTCCACTAGTTCCATGCAATATGGTGTAATAGAGATAGGCTGAGTGATCGGCACCAAGTCAATTCCAAAATTGATATCTCTATTGGGTGGTATGCCTGGTAGGTCTACTGGAAACACATCTAAGAAATCTCTCACTATCAGAACTGACTCAATAGTAGGAGTATCAGTATTGACATCCCCCACAAGGCTAAATATGCTAAGCACCCCTTCTCAACCATCGGATGTGCCTTCAGGAAAGACACCACCCTACTAGGAACATAATACAATATACTCATCCACTCCAACTACGGTAAACCCGGCATAGCCAATGTCACGGTCTTAGCATGATAATCCAGAATAGCGTGATAAGGTGACAACCAATCCATTCCCAAAATCACATCAACATCCACCATATTGAGTAACAGAAGGTTAACCCTAGTCTCATAACGCTCGATAGTAACCAAACACGACCGATAGACATGGTCTACCACAATAGAATCCCCAATAGGCGTAGACAGATAAACAGGGCTACTCAAAGAATCACGAGATATATCTAAATATGAAGCAAAGTAAGATGATACATACGAATACGTGGAACACGGATCAAATAAAACTGATGCATCCCTATGACTGACCGGAATAATACATGTGATGATAGCATCTGATGCAGCAGCCTCAGTCCTACATAAAAAAGCATAACAACATGCCTGGCCTCCCCCTCTAGGACAACCTATACCCGCCTATCCTCCACCCCTAGCTGGTTGTGCAGGTGGAGTAGCAACTGGAGCAACATATTCTCCTCCCAAAGGACTTGAATATGATGATCCAATGTACACTCTTGTCTCCTGCACATCCTTATCTCCTCACTCCTTAATTCTTGGCAACCTTTACCCTCAAATATGGACATTGCAGTTTATCTTCATTCACTATCCTCCTCCCTTGAATGTCCAGTTGCTAGAATTCTTGGTATTCTATATCCCCAGAATCAAGAGCATAGTTGGCAAGATGGTTTACCAACTTGTTCGCTTCTCTAAAAGTGTGTGACACCTTGTAGTTACTCCCTTCAAAGAGTTGCATGATCTCCTCCACCTTATTGGCTATATACCATGGTGGCTTCCATGATCCAGCGATGATTTTCTTCATTAGCATCGAGTCTGTTCCATACATAAGGGTACAGCTGAATTCTGCAAAACCTCCACAATAGCCACTGCCTCAGCTTTAGTGTTTGTGGCTTCATTTATTTCCTTCCCTACTACATATCATACATCCCCATTCTCATTCCTCACACAAAATCCAAATGCACTCCTCCCTGGATTCCCCCTAGATGCACCATCTGTGTTAACCTTAAGCCAACCTTCCTCTGGCAATTCCCAACAAACTTTGTGAAACTTCAATCGAGGAGTGTAGTTTTCCATCATCTGTATTAGCTCATGCCATCTGTGAGGAACAGTATTCACTCCTGGCTTTCTTACTTGTACGAGGAGTTGTAGACTGGTAGAAACTTGATATATGACTCTACTAGTTGACACTGCATCCCCATACTTCATGCTATTCCTTCTCTTCCATAATTCCCAAACTATACAAGAAGGCAAAACCTGCATAATAGGTTTGAATCTAGGACAAACCTTAGCAGTCCAGCATTTAATAATGGCTTGATGCATTGACAAACCATCCATAGAAATACCAGCCCTCGATAGGAAGTACTTCCATACACTTCCTGCAGCATCAGACTTGAAGAACAGATGTTGTAAATTTTCTTCCTTAGGCTGTATGCAGCACCAGCATTTAGAGGTGCATGAAATAGCCCAGTCTCCTCATAAAGTCATCCAGTGGCAGCTTTGCTTTCCAGACTTTCCACATGAAAAAGGAAAATTTGAAAGGTAAACCCTTCAGCCAAATCATCTTATAAGCTGCCCTTGGTTCATCTCTCCTTCTCAAATACTCCCATGCTGTTTTAACACTAAAATAACCTCGAGTTTCCAACACCCAGTAGGGAACATCTAACACATCGTGCATAGGAGGTGGCTTAATTTTTTCCACTATATGCATTGCATACTCTTCAGGTAATACCTCCAGTAGCCTATTCACAATTCATGCCCCTTCCTCAACAACATCATATACATTATGTTCTGATTCATCAACTCCAAAATCTTGTGGAACAATGAAATATAGAGCTCCTAATCCTGTCCAGTTATCATACCAGAATAATGAAGATCACATCTTTGGATGCCACCCTATTTGGTGTTCAATTAAGTCCCTACATTCTAACACCTTCCTCCAAACAAGTGACCCACGCTTCCATGGAACAATCACAGAATTCAGTTTCTTACAATACTTCTGGCACGTGAATGAACTCCACAGACTTGGTTTTTCGCGATAGTTCCACCATAGTTTGCAGAACAATGCTTTAGAGACATCATGCATTGATCTAAAGCCAATCCCACCTCTTTATATGGCATGCACAAGGTGTTCCAAGATGCCCAATGCCTGCTACTGCCTCCTACTGAACTGCTCCAAAAAAACTGTGCAAATATTTTATGCAGCTTATTTATGACATTTTTGGAGGGTTTACTGCTGAGAGTAAATGTATGGGCATACTCTGAAGCACATGAGCAATCAGAATAGCTCTGCCACCTATAGAAAGCAACTTCCCCTTTCATGATTGCAACTTGTCCAGTACCTTAGTGATCAAATCCTGATAATAATCCATCTTTCTTCTTGAGTAAAAGATAGGGCAGCCTAGGTACATAAATGGAAAATCATGCCTTTTGATCCTAGTGATTCTCTCCACTTTTGTAATCACCTCTATATTTGTTGAATGGTGCATGTAAATAGTTGATTTGCTCTTGTTTACCAACTGCCCTGATGCAACCTCATATGCACTCAAAACTTCCATTATTAAGCACAAAGATGTAGCATTAGAAGAAGAAAAATGATGGTATCATCTGCATAGGCTAGATGATTGACTTTAGGACTCCACTTAGGCAGTCCAAAGCCACAGAAGTACAAGTTCAAATGTAAAGCATTTAGACCCCTCGACAGTGCTTCAGCAGCTAGAATAAACAATGTAGGAGACAATGGATCTCCTTGCTTGACACCTCTTGATGATTTGAAAAATCCATGAGCCTTCCCATTGATAAGAACAGAATACCAATTATTTGACACAATCCCAAACACCAAGCCAATAAATCTCTCTGAAAATCCCATCTTCCTAAGCACCTTAGTCAGCTAGATCAAAGATAACATGTCATATGCCTTTGTCATGTCAAGCTTCATTACCACATTTGGACCAGCTTTTGTTCTAAGTCTAATGTCTGTAATGATCTCCTTTGTGAGCAATACATTTTCTACAATGCTTCTCCTTTTTATGAAACCAGCTTTCTCCTCAGAAATAAGACTAGGCAGTAGCCCAACTAACCTCTTATGAATCACCCGCGAGATAAATTTGTTTGAGAAATTGCTAAGGCTTATAGGCCTCGTATTAGAAAATGTTGTCACCTCTTTTTTCTTTGGAAGTAGGACCAGATTTGTGTGTGTCATATATTTTGGCAGTTCATGGCCATTGAAATAAGCTCATCCATATCAAATAGATCATCTCCAACTATGTCCCAACATGAATGATAAGCTGCCTGTGTAACCGTCTGGCCCTTCTGCACTGTTCCCATTAAAACCAAACACTGCATTCTTAACTTCTTCTTTTGTTGGCTGCTTCACCAGTTCTGAATTCTGCTCCATATCAACCAGATTAGGCATATGATCTATAATGTCAAATGAGGTAGGTACTACTGATTCTTTAAACTGATCTTCATAGAATTTAACTGCTTCAACAGCAATTTCTTCATCTTCCTCAATCCAGTTTCCACAACTGTTTTGAATCCTTTTAAGCTGCAACCTCTTCCTTTGAACTTTGACTTGAACATGAAAGAAATTAGTGTTTCTGTCACCATCTTTGAACCAAGCCATGTCTGATTTCTGCTTCCAATATTTTTCCTCCAAAGCTAGTAATTTGATCAATTCTGCCTGCACTTTCTGCAACCTCTCTCTATTCATTCTTGTAGGATTAGCTTCAAACTCTGCCTCATGAACCTTAACAACCTCTTCCAAACTTGCAACCTTCTAAAATGTGTCTCCATATGTTGCTCTACTCCAGACTGATAAAGCCTTTAACTTCTTTAGCTTGTAATTGAACATGACAAATGGACTTGCACAAAAATCAGCCTTCCAGTTCTCCCTCACAACATCTTTAAATGACTCATGCTCAACCCAAAATTAAGGAACCTGAAAGGTTTCTTCACTGGAGGAGCCTCTATGTCACATTTCAATTGCATAGGACTATGATCTGAGCCTATCTTTGACAAATGTGTTACTTCTATTCCTGGGAATGTTTGCTGAAATTCAACATTAGCTAGACATCTATCCAGCCTCTTGAAGATACAACCCTCTTCTGCCCTCCCATTCCACCAAGTAAAAATACTACCTTTGGAGCCAAGATCAAATAAGTTGCAAGTGTTGATGTAGTGCCGAAAATCATCTATTTCATTCAAGGATACTGGCAGTCCACCAAACTTTTCTTCTTCATCCCAAATGACATCAAAATCTCCACCTACAAGCCATGGCACAGACATGCCCCTTGCCATGGCATACATTGAATCCCATAATTTTATTCTCTCAATGGCATCACATTTAGCATATACCAAGGTAAGAATAAGCTCTACATGTGTTTCAGTATGAAATAGCCTTAGAGTCAGCTGCTGAACCATGTTATACAGAATGGTAACATCAAATACTTCATCAATGAAAGCCCATATCTTGTTTGAAACATTTGCAATTGCCTGCGCAAAACCAATTTTCCTTCTATACCTTTCCAATTTTCTAGCTTGTTGCATTGGCTCCATTAATCCTATAAATTCAAAATGATGCTGCCTACGCATTTTGATCAGCCTCTCAAAAGCTTTTTGTATGTTTACTGACCTTATATTCCAGATGAGTGCATCCATTACTATTTGGTGAGAGTCCTCCTCGTTTGAACACCTCCTGTATGCACAACAGTGTTGTCTTTTTGTTGTTTCTTCCTTCCTTTTGCTAGAGATTTTACCTTTTCAATATGCCTGGGTGATAGATCACCCTGCCTAGCTACATTGAGAAAATTCTGGGCTGTTGATTCCTAATCCAAATCCCTGCTTGTTCTGTCAATTTCTTTCTCTGCATCATTGGCATCATTACCACCCATTGCAGCCACAGGTTTTGACTTCTGAAATTTAAGCACCATAGCTTGTTCCTCTCCTTTCTTCTGCAACTTCAATTGTGTGGACTCCAATAGAACAGTATTCCTAGGTTCAATTGGAAGATGTACAATGGGCAGGTGCTCCTTCCCAAGCTTTTCTAACATCTTTGGGTTGGCATCAGCAATCAACTTGTGCCCTGCACGTTCCCGTATTCCTCCTGGATCAACAGCAGCAGTCCCTATTCTTTTAGTGTTTTCTGTGCCCATTCCATCACTTCTTAGTGTTCCCTACGCATCCTCATGTTCCTTGGCCTCCATAGTAACATTGTTAGGAGTCTCCTCAGTAGTGTTATTTGCATTAACATTGGGATCTCCATTTACACTTTGTTCCTCTCCATCTTGATCATCATCTACCGGCTCATCATCATATGGTACACCATCTGGAACTTCAGCTTCATTAGGATCCCCCTCAAGTTGTTCAGACCATAGCCTGCCACCACTCCATTGCACTCTCTCATTCACCTTAGGAAAATCACTCCTCTTTTTAGCTTGATTTTCTAGACTTTTGGCCAGATCTCTTTCCACACGAGTATCTTGTGATGATATGTCTTGACATGAAGTATTAATACCAACTGCATTAGCATTGAATGTTCTTTGTACCCACTGAGCAGTTGATTCCCTAGCTTTAGCTATCTCATTCCATTTCCCAGTTGTAGTGGCATCCATACGTCCAGTAGTTGAGCCAGCTCCAGTTGAATTTGGATTAAAAATTGGAGTTGCAGGATTTAACTTCCCAGCATTCTTAGGAATAAATTTTTGAACTTGTTGAGGTGACATTGGATTCCCAGTTGCTGCAGGCCTAGGACTTGGTTGATCAACCACCAATACCAACTGTTATCAGTTTCTTCTTCATCATTAATCACCTCTAAAACTGCAAACTTATTTCCCATTGAACCTGACTACTTCCTCTTTGATCTACTGGTACAATTTCTTTCCTAGTCTTCCCTTGAAGTTCATTCTGTTTCCCATCATTCTTATCTCTAATTCCTCCATTACCTTGTTGCTTTTCACCCTGTTGTACTGGGACAATTTCCTTCCCAGTATTAGCTTGTTCTGTAGGCTGCTGCAAAATAGCCTTAACACGATTATCCTTGATTTCTTTCCATTGTTCCTTTGAGGTACCAGCTATATTCCCCACTACTTTTCCACTTGTAAGAACCATCAAAGGTTGTTGGTTAGCATTGTTCTGAGCATTAGCATTCACATCTTGTTTTACATTATCCTTGTCCACATATAACTCTGGATGTAATCTCCAGCATTCCAATTCATCATGCCCTTGCAACTTACATGTTTTTAATACTTAGGCAACATATCATACTGGATCTTAACCCATTCAGTCCTTATCTCACCAGTTGCCTCATTCTCAATATCCATTCTTACCTTTTTAGGCAAATCAGCAAGAAGATCAACTAGAACCTTTCCCTCGCACAACTAGGCCTAGTTTTATTGATAGTAGACATATCTAGGTGCAAAGATTTTCCCACAGCAGAAGCTAAGGAAAATAAACATTCCTTAACAAAATATGTAGGCAACAAACCTGGGAATGATATCCATGCCATGGCTTTTGGAGTTTCTTCACTAACTTTGAATTTAGCATCATAGATCAAAGGCCTTAACTGATACTCATAACCATCTTTATCTTTAATGTAATGAGCCTTCTTCGACGTAAAACTTATAAAGTCATCCCATAATGTCATTCTTATTAAAACGTGCCTGTCCCCTAGAACACCAATGTTGCACTCTCCTTTGATACCACACTGTCCAGGAATCATGCGTCGTAACTGTTGCAAATCTGGCCACCCATAGGATAGTTTACCAACGACAGCATATTGAAAACCCTCGATCACGTTCATTCTCTCCACTTCTGCTTCAGTAAACTTGACGATGAGCATTCCATGAAGCAATGTAGGTCGACATAGGGGAATTGGCTCAACTGTTTGATGTTAACTAGGACTTGCATGCACTAATGGATTCATAGTGGCTGGTTTCAATATGTTTGAGTAATCTAATGGCTTGGGTATTGTTGTACTGTTGTTAGGGATAGAAGGGGATGCTTTGGAGGGCTGACCAGCCATAGGAAGAGGCTGGCCGCCGGCCGGAGAGGCCATTAAAGACCTCACGAGAGCTGTGCGCAGTTTGTCTTCGCAGATCGCCTGTCGCCAGACCTAGAGCTGTGTGCAGTTTTTCGTCCTCTCTCCTGGGTTACCTGCCATATAGGTTTTTGTTCTTACTTTTGATACACACTTGGGGTAAGTTCTAGACACAAAAAAAAAAGCAATAGAACTCAACAAAAACTTCTCCACTCATGGCCATGTAACGCTCAAGTAGAATATGTATTCAAGATCCAATTAATGCAAATGAACTCCAAGACATATAGCCTAAAATACCATTTAGTAGATCAAAGAGCCAAAAATCGAACTTAAAAGTCATAACAAAGACCATTTCTTCAATTATTCTTTTTTATTTTAACATTACTAGCAATTTATATGCTAAGGTTTAAATTTTGTTGGTACTAAACAAGCCACAAGTTGGATAATGGACAAGAAGGTTATTATCAAAACTAATTTAATATAACTACTAGCTACTACTAAAAAGCTTTAAAAAAAATAAACAGTTCACTATTACATTTTTGGAAAAGAACCAATGGAAAGAAAATCAAAAGAAGTTATTTCTAACTACTAGAAAGCATAAAGGTATGAACTAAAAGCAGCACCTAAAATCAGAATACCCTCCCCTAAACACAAAAATTTACATTTTCCTTAATGCAATCAAAATGGAAGTAAGGGGAAAGATAAAGAGTACTCCCTCAATCCAAGCATAATGGTGCCACAATGCAGAACGTATTTTAAGAAACTACACTTCTGGTGGGTACTCAGACTTTCCCCATTTATCACCGACAAATTCAGCTTGCCTCTTCAAATGCCTAACCTGCTCAAATTTAAACACCAAAACACATCAAAATAACAGATAAAAGTGATGCTAATTTACTAACAAAAAACAAAATGAATGAATTAAAGTAAAAAAAACTTGGGTTGCCTCCCAAGATATGCCTTATGTAAAATCGTGGCATGACGGAACAACCACTAACTTCACGGTTCCGTTAGGGTTTTTCCCAACTCAACTCCTAAGACTATTTTTTTCCTATCAATTTCACCAAGATAGTATTGAAGCTTTGACCATTCACCATGAATATTCTCATACCATCTTCGGATTCCAAATTCACGATACCAAATGGGTATACATTGACAACTTTTAACGGTCCGCACTAGTTTGATTTAAGATTTCCCCAAAACAATTTAAACTTTGAATTGTGAAGAAGAACCATATCCCCTGGGTGAAACTCTTTCTTCTTGATTTTCTTGGGGTAGAGGTATTTCTTCCTCTGCTTGTACAATAATGCCTTCTCAGAATCCATGGGGTAATTATATGAATTTAGGAGAATTATCCTCAAGGCTTCATCATGACACATTTCTTCCATATCCTCGTCTACTATTTTATCTACTATATGAATCATAGAGATTACTCCATAGTCATGTGATTGCTTTATTGACTTCTGGTTATGGAAGAATTCTTCTTCATCATTCAAGCAGAATTTCAGCTCTCCCACTTCCACATCACAAATGGCCCATCTTGTAGCCAATAATGTCCTACTAAGTATGATGGGAACCTCTCTATCTACTTTGCAGTCCAATATCACAAAGTCACCTGGGAAGTAGAAACGATCCACTTTGGCAAGAATGTCATTAATGACCCCAACTGTTTTTCCAGAGTTTGATCTGCCATAAGAAACTTCATAGAGGTAGGCCTATGATCATCCAAACCCAATCTCTTAAACACAACATAAAGCGTAAAATTAATACTTGCCCTCAAATCACACAATGCTTTGGCAAACCTTGTCACACCAGTAGAATAAGGGATAGTGAATGCCCCCGGATCTTCCATCTTTTTCACTCTGATCTATGAAATGATTGCACTGCACTGATGTATCACTTTGACTATCTCAAAGTTGACATTTTTCTTCTTGGTGACCAAGTCTTTCATGAACTTGGCATATCTTGACATTTTCTAAAGTGCCTCTACAAAAGGCACAGTAACAGTGATCTGGTTCAGTATGCCATAAAAATTTTGCAATTGTCCCTCTTTCTGTTGTTAGAAAAACCTTTGCGGATAAGGAGGAGGTGGCCTAGGTAGCTGCTTGTGGGACCTAGTAGCCTTATTAGTTACTTATTTGATTACTTCATTCCTTTGGAAGGCATATCCATCACATCTTGAGGAGAACTAGGTGCTTGTTGCATCTCTTCAATCACATTTGACTCTGCTACTGGCACATTGACTTTAGGAGGGTTAGTAACTCTAGGAGGTCTAATATCCTCTTCTTCTTCATCTTCAATCAAAATGGTTCTTTCATTGCGGACTTTACCGCTCCTTGTGGTAATTGCAAAGATATGTCCTATACCCTTATTTTCCTTAGGATTTGCAACAATATCACTTGGCAATGCTTCACGTGGCCTCACATACAGTTGAGATGAAATTTGTCCTAATTGAGTTTCAATCTGGTTGATCGACATAGTATGAGTGATAACCACTTGATTTATCTCTCTCCTTTATTTGTCGGACTACTCCTGATTTTTAATCATTCTCTCCATCAAACCTATTAGCTCGAGATCACCAGAAGATTGCCCTTGACTGTTGTAGGGCCTTCGTTGGTTGTAG